GTCCAGTACCGGACACTGGGGTGGGTCCAGTACCGGCACTGGGGTGGGTCCAGTACCGGACACTGGGGTGGGTCCAGTACCGGACACTGCGGTGGGTCCAGTACCGGACACTGCGGTGGGTCCAATACTGGCACTGGGGCGTGTCCAGCCTCAGACACTGGGGTGTGTCCAGTACCAGCCCTGGACACTCGGGTTGTGTCCAGCAGTGCCCCGGACACTCGGGGTGTGTCCAGTACCGGACACTCAGGGTGTGTCCAGCAGTGCCCAGGACACTGGGGTGTGTCCAGTACTAGCCCCGGACACTCGGGGTGTGTCCGGCAGTGGCACTGGACACTCGGGATATGTCCAGTACTGGACACTCGGGGTGTGTCCAGCAGTGCCCCGGACATTCAGGGTGTGTTTGGTATCAGCCCCGGACACTCGGACTGTGTCCAGCCCTGGACACTCGGACTGTGTCTGTCACCAGCCCCGGACGCTCAGGACGTGTCCGGCAGCACCCTGAACACTCAGACTGTGTCCGTCACCAACCCCGGACACTCAGGCCGTGTCCATCACCAGACACTCGGGCTGTGTCCAGCACTGACCCTGGACACTCAGACTGTGTCCATCACCAACCCCGGACACTCAGACTGTGTCCGTCACCAACCCCGGACACTCAGACTGTGTCCAGCACCAGCCCTGGACACTCAGGGTTTGTCAAGCACCACGAACACTCGGACTGTGTCCATCACCAGCCCTGGACACTCAGGCCATGTCCAGCACTGACCCCTCCCCCCATGGCCTCACCTTGACCTTCTCGGCCCAGGGGTTGAGGCGTTTCCAGAGCAGCCACCAGCCGGACAAGGAGTCGCCGTAGTTGCACAGGTCGGTCTCGTCCTGGCTGCCCACGTCGATGGCGATGACCGTCCGGGCGCCCAGGCCGCGGGCGATGTCGGCTGTGGGGTGGACACATGGAGGGGTCAGCGTGGGGAGGGGACACTGAGGGACATGGGGAGGGGACACGGGGAGGGGAGGGCACGGGAACGGGGTGGGGACGCGCTGAGGGGACATCGGGGTGGAAAGGAGATGGTCCTGAGGGACATCAAGGGATGGTGGAGATGAGGATGATGAGGATGATGGAGGAAGGTCATTCCCGCAAAGAAAGGGACAGAGATGGTCCTGAGGGACATCAAGAAGTGATGAAGACAGTGATGGTGATGACGATGATGGCGGAAGGTCATTCCTATAAAGAAAGAGATGGAGATGGTGCTGGAGGACATCAAGGGATGGTGGAGATGGTGAAGATGAGGATGATGATGGAGGAAGGTCCTTCCCACAAAGAAAAGGATGGAGGGACATCAAGAAGTGATGGAGATGGTGAAGATGATGAGGATATGATGAGGATGATGATGAGGATGATGGTGGAAGAAGGTCAGTTCCACAGGGCAGAAAATGGACGGGATCCTGGAGGACATCAAGGGATGGTGGAGATGGTGAAGATGAGGATGATGAAGGAAGATCATTCCTATAAAGAAAGGGATGGAGATGATTCTGGAGGATATCAGGGGATGGTGGAGATGAGGATGATGAGGATGATGATGGAGGAAGGTCATTCCCGCAAAGAAAGGGACAGAGATGGTCCTGAGGGACATCAAAGAGTGATGGAGACGGCGATGATGATGAGAATGATGGAGAAAGGTCAGTTCCACAGGGCAGAGGATGGACGGGATCCTGGAGGACATCAAGAGATGGTGATGGTGATGAAGATGATGATGATGGTGAAGATGATGAGGATGATGATGATGGCAGAAGAAGGTCAGTTCCACAGGGAAGAGGACAGAGATGATCTGGAGGACATCAAGAGATGATGATGAGGATAATGATGAGGATGATGGTGAAGATGAGGATGATGGTGGTGAAGAAGATGATGATGGTGAAGATGTTGATGGAGGAAGAAGGTCAGTTCCACAGGGAAGAGCACAGAGATGATCTGGAGGACATCAAGAGATGATGATGATGATGGTGATGATGGTGGCGATGGAGGAAGGTCACTCGGACGTGCGGATGAAGATGTTGGGAGAGGACACCCAATGCTGATGACCTCAAGGGATGATGGAGATGATGATGATGATGATGATGATGATGATGATGGAGGAAGGCAGCTCTGAACCCAAGGAGCCGACAATGCCCCCGCAGCCCTCATGGCACCGGCGCCACCCCGCTCCAGTGACGATGATGATGCCAGAGCATGGAGGAAGGTCCCCTGCACACGAGGGGACAAAGGTGACCTTCCAAGGCCACCAGAGGTGACAGGAGCAGCCTGGAGATGGACATGGAGGGGTGGGGAGAGGAAGAGGAGGGGTCTGGAGAAGAGGGGACACCGAGAGAGGAAGAGGAGGAGGATGAAGGGTGAGGGGACAGCGGGAGGGGACATGGGGAGGGGACGATGCCCCAGAGGGTGCCCGGCACCGAGGACATCAAGAGATGATGGAAGAGGGACAAAGATGGATCCTGCACGTGGAAAACCCTGGAATGTTCTGGAAAACGCTGGAATGTCCTGGAAAACCCCAGAATGTTCTGGAAAGCTCCACGGTACGGAAGAGGCATCAAGAGATGATGGAAGATGGACACATCCTGACCATGCAAATCCATGGAATGTTCTGGAAAAGCGCCGGGCATGGACAAGGCATCAAGAGATGATGGAAGAGGGATGGATCCGGACCGTGAAGGACCATGGAATGTTCTGGAAACCACCCAGCATGGAAAGGGCATCAAGAGATGACCCATGAAGGATAAAAGGATGGATCCCAACCATGAAGGACCATGGAATGTTCTGGAAAACCGCTGGGCATGGAAAATACACCAGGAGATGATGGAAGAGGGATGGATCCTGACCATGAGAAACCATGGAATGTTCTGGAAAACCACTTGACATGGAAAGGGCATCAAGAGATGATGGAAGAGGGATGGATCCCAACTGTGAAAGACCATGGAATGTTCTGGAAAACCACCCAGCATGGAAAGGGCATCAAGAGGTGATCCATGATGGATAAAAGGATGGATCCCAACTGTGAAGGACCATGGAATGTTCTGGAAAACCGCCGGGCAAGGAAAAACCACCAGGAGATGATGAAAGAGGGATGGATCCCGACCATGAGAAACCATGGAATGTTCTGGAACCCCCCCAGCACAGAAACCCCCTGGTGCGCCGGAGCCCGCGGGCCAGCCCGGCCGTGTGTCGGTGTGTCCGTGTGTCCATTTGTCCAGCCCCGGCCGCGGGCGGGCGCCACTTGCCTGGCAGGTTGTTGATGTACCCCCCGTCCATCAGGAGGTTGCCGTCCTTGGGGTCGCACAGGGGGGGCAGGTACCCCGACAGGGTCATGCTGGCGCGGACGTAGCGCCAGAGCGAGCCTGCGCCGCGGAACACACGCGGTCAGCGCCGCCGGCCGCCCGGGGACAGCCCGGGGACAGCCCGGGGACAGTCCAGGGACAGCCCAGGGACAGTCCAGGGACAGCCCAGGGACAGTCCAGGGACAGCCCAGGGACAGCCCGGGGACAGCCCGGGGACAGTCCAGGGACAGCCCGGGGACAGCCCAGGGACAGTCCGGGGACAGTCCGGGGACAGTCCGGGGACAGCCCGGGGACAGCCCGGGGACAGTCCGGGGACAGCCCGGGGACAGCCCGGGGACAGTCCAGGGACAGTTCGGGGACAGCCCTGGGACAGCCCGGGGACAGTCCGAGGACAGCCCGGGGACAGCCCGGGGACAGTCCGAGGACAGCCCAGGGACAGCCCGGGGACAGTCCGGGGACCACCGGGACCGCCCCTCGCTCTGTCCTGCCCGGCCCTGACCAGCGCCGGACGCGTCCGTGCCCCGCAGGTGACACCGCTGGGGTGACCTGACGGGTGACCCAATGAGGGACCCGATGGGTGACCCTCGCAGGTGACCCGAAGGGTGACCCCTGATGGGTGACCCAAAGGGTGACCTGAGGAGTGACCCAAGGGGTGACCTCTGATGGGTGACCTAAGGAGTGACCCCTGATGGGTGACCCCTGATGGAGGACCTGATGGGTGACTCAAAGGGTGACCTAAGGAGTGACCCCTGATGGGTGACCCCTGATGGAGGACCTGAGGGGTGACCCAATGGGTGACCTGATGGGTGACCCTCGCAGGTGACCCAATGGGTGACCCCTCACGGGTGACCCAACAGTTGACCCCATGCAGGTGACCCTGACAGGTGACCCCACGGAGGTGACCCTGATGGGTGACCCCTGATGGGTGACCCTCACAGGTGACCCAATGGGTGACCCGAGGGGTGACCCCTTGCAGGTGACCCAATGGGTGACCCCTGACAGGTGACCCCTCATGGATAACCCAATGGGTGACCCCTCTCAGGTGACCCAATGGGTGACCCCTCTCAGGTGACCCAATGGGTGACCCCTAATGGGTGACCCCTGATGGGTGACCCCTCACAAGTGACCCCTTGTGGGTGACCCCTCTCAGGTGACCCCTGGCGGGTGACGGAGGCGCCCGGCGCGCCCTGCCCGGTGCGTGGCGGCCCTGGCC